ATTATACATATATATATATATATATATATATATATATATGTATGTATGTATGTGTGTATAGGAGATATGTATATTTAATAAAATATACCAAAAATGAAACAAATTACATATAAAAAATTTATTCAATATGTTACATATTTGTTATGTATTTGTTGGTGCATAAGTCAAAGATAATTGTAATAAAATATTAAATTTTTTTTATAAATTTTGTTAAAAAAGGGAAAATTCTAGAATATGTATTGTAATTTACAAGTACATATTTATTTGATAATATCTATATAATAAATATATCAATGTTAATAAATAATTATTATTTAATATATTGTTTAATATTTACTTTCATATTAATTTTATGTTGTGTATATTTTATTATTTTAATTATACAATAGATGCAACATTATTTACATTTTAATAATTATAATAATGTAAAATGTAATAATATTATTAAATATTATTAAAATAATAGAATAACAATTCTTTTATTTAAAAAAATATATTAATATATTATTTGTGCTCATTGAGATTCACTTCATTAAAAATAAATATAAGCATGATATTTTGCTACATTTATAAATAGTTGAAGTACATAATTGTCATCATTATATCAAATTATCAAATCTAAATATTTATATTTACAAATGTATACATTTAAAATATTCAATCTTAAGTCTCTAATATTCTAGAAGTAGTAATAATTTTCCAAATTAATACAGATCCATAGTGAGTTTTGATTCTATAATTAGTCACAAAATACTGGCTTAGTACCATAATTATTACTATTTTGTCATTATCAACTCATTTTTTTTAGTATCACATTTGAATCATTAGAAAAATATTGTACATTATTTTTTTTCATTTTATATACAAATTAATTTAAAAAAAATATGTATACCACTTGTTTAAAAACTATTACCTAAAATATTTTATATGAGCAGCTTGAACAGGAAGACAATTTTCTACTTGCACCAAGTCTAACAACTTCATCTTCATTAGCATTTATTTGGCGATTTTCATATCTTCTCTAAAAAACAAAAAATATATTATTTTTTAATATATTATATAATATAATTCATAATAAGATTTAAATATTTGATTATTTATATATTATATATTATTATATAAAAATTAAATGTTTACTTTAAGCTCAGATGCTAGATAGAAAAATATAGAATCTATATTGGTATTTTCTTTGGCTGATGTTTCTACTACTTGTAATACTTCAGGAAGATATTGACAAAGAGCTTCTGCTTCACCTTTTTCAACTTCTCTGAGACTTTCTAAATCACATTTGTTACCTATAAGATTTTCATTTGTTAATAATTAATATACAGATTATAATTTAAAAAAAAAAATGAACGAATCTCACCAACTAAAATTAATAACACATGTGATGAAGTATACCTTCGTACTTCTTCAACCCAATGTTGTAAACTTAAGAATGTAGATCTTTTTGTAATATCATAAACTGAAATATATTTTATTTTAATGATCTATGATTAAATAAAAATAAAAATTATATTTCTCACATACCAACAATAACACCATTAGCAGATCTATAATAACTTTGAGTTATTGTACGAAATCTCTCTTGACCAGCTGTATCCCATATTTGTAACTATTACAATGTAATTAAATATGTTTAATGGTATATATATCACATATTTTATAACATTAACAATTATTTATTAAATTTATAGGACAATTATTTATATAAAATAATTCAAACTTTTTTTTTAAATTTATTTTATATATATTTTATATATATATTAAACTAATAAATTATTATAATATAATATATATTATTTAAAAAAACTTAGTTTTAATAAAAGATTAAAATTATAAGTTTTTAAATAATTTCATTTTAAAAAAATATTAAATCTTTCGAAAATTTATTTACAAATAATTTTTAGGTTAAATGTCAAAAAAATAAAGAAATAATATTTTATTGATCATGGATTAAATAAACCATGAATCAAATACCTTAACTTTCTTGTCATCGATTAGTACAGTTTTCATGGAAAAATCCACACCAATTGTATTTCCATGTCTTTCGATAAATGTACCAGATCGAAATCTTTGAACAACACATGTTTTTCCTGTACCACAATCACCAATAAGCACTATCTTAAATAAATAATCGAAATTTTCATCGTTTGTGGTTATTAAATTATCCGGATCACGGTTCGACATTTCTCTTAATCGTCGAAATAATTTATAAAATCGACGATTTGAAATCCGCACATCCAAACCATCTGGTTACTTACGCCATTGTTTCATTGAACTCGATCTCTTTTACAAAATTTTTCAGTACAGTTAGTATATACGATGTATTCATTAAAGTTAAATTTCAATATTATTTTTTTAATTAATTTTATATATATTTTCTTGTATATTATATGAATATAATCCATATAATTGTTATATATAATATATATACAATAGTTTTTATAAAAATAAATTAGTTTAGCTTTAATAAAGTTTAAAAAAATATTAATATATAATATAATTAGGAATATATTTTTATTAAAAAATTATTAATGGCATAATACAATGATATGGATGTGACATGTAATTTATTTTCAAAAAGAAAATTTCGACAAAAAAAGCATATTAGAATATTACATATATTTATTATAAACATATTTTTATATAAACGTATTCTATACCTAATAAATTATAAATATAATAGAAGTTACGAACATTACTTTCCAGATGTGAATTTTGAAAGGCCTTCTAACAAACTAACATATGCTGTATGTTCATAACTTGTACTAAGATCAATTAATTTTTCTGCAAATTCATTTGAAATGCCTTTTTCTTCAAGATAGTTCATCAATAAATCATATAGATACTGAAACAAATTGTATACATTTTAATACATAAATATACAAAAATAGATACAAAAAAGCATCATTAAACTGATCATGAAAATATATAAAAAATAACTGTTACATCCTCAAATAATTAATTTTATCAATGATAAAATATTATATTCTGAGAATGTTTTGTTTTTCCAAAGATTAATTATCAAATTGGTTAATGAATATCCCAATTTGTACTCAATTCCTTGGTTTATTTTTTATAAATATATAAGTAACTTTAATAATATATTACTTACTCCATCAATAATTTCACCTGCAACAGCATATACTTTGTCAGTATGTTCTCCTGTATATAAAGTGATTTCATCTATACCAAAAATATCATCTGAAATTAAATAATACCTGTATGAAAAACATATTCATTTCTAATTATGTAATAATACATATTAATATATGTTATTATATAGTATATTTATATTACTGACTATAGCTTTCATTAGCACCTGATGCACCAGGTTCATTATTAAAAGAACAAGTGAATCCAAGAGTTTGATTTCCTCTTATTATATCTATTGTGAAAGATGGTTTACTTTTCATATCACCAATATCTGGATTATCATTTGTCATTTCAATATTGGGTTCAGATTCAGAATCAACTGTATGATTTATATTAAATGAAATCCTGATTCTATAAAAAAAAATAATTAATAAAGTAAAAAATATATTTTCTATACAAAATAATTCACTATGTTTTATAAATTTAATATTATTTTAGTATGATAAATATTTTTTTTACATTTCATTATCTTGCTTCTTTTCTAAATTAACATCTGCACCATCAAGTGATACTTTAAATCCATCTAATTCAGTGGGAATAGTTTTTAGTTTTTGTGCCTTCTTTTCTGCTATAATTTCTTCTGCTAAGAATTCTACAAGCTCTTTTTCAGCTAATAAATAAAAAATTATAATAAAGCAAAAAGATAATAATATATTAAAAATATTTCAATATCAATTAAAGGTTAAAATATATAAACTTTATATTATTAATGATAATAATAAAATGTATATAATATACAATTACAATATACTATTAATATACATATGTATATCGAAAAATATACTTAAAAATATCGTTATAAATATACGATTTATTACTTATAAGATGATAAAATAACGATACATTAAATATACCTTTTGAGTGAGAATTCCTGCAACAATTGTAATTACAAAAAACATTTTGATGGTTAAATAGTTTTACCGGAACAATAGATGTAATTTGAGTTTGTCGAGAAACATTCCATAGTGTTCTTAATTGATTACATGTAATTCCTGTACTTGAAGTTGTCGAAAATAAATTTTTAATTATCGACGAACGCAATGTATTTCTTATAATTCCATTCATTTTAATTACTATCGTCCTTTTTATTATTTGAATCCGTAATACCCGCAAAATGGTTTTCCTAAACCAAGCACGAGGTAGAATGAACTTCTTCGTCACAAAACAAAAAACGTCTAGTTTATCTTTCCAGAACGAATTTTTGTATAGTGATTTCTAGTAATTTTCTGTTTGAAATAAAGATTGAAATTGATATAGAGAAGTTTTATATTTGATGAAAACTAGACATATATTTTATTTGCGTCTTAATTTTACATATTCTTAGTTACATATAAAGGGGAAATTGCGGGAAACATTTGCATTATTGTGTAGAACATATTAACATAAAAAACTTTCTTTAAAAGAAATTGTTAATTTTATTTGATATTTTATTATTTTTATTATTATATAAAATGTATTCGCTTACTGAAGGAGCATTAGACGTAAATTTATATTTTATACTTATTTATATTTATATTTATATTTTATATAACATATTTATATTTTATAATTATTTTGTTTTATATATTAATTATTTCATAATTAATATTTAATTATGATAACAAGTTCTATTTAATTTTTTAGAAAATTATGAATGGCATTGATGTTGATAAACCGGTACTACAAATATTGGTAAATAATTTAATATTTAATATATCTTTATTTATTTAATATAATCTAATCTTAAAATAAAGTATTTCAATATGATTATGATAATTATATTATTATTTTATAGGGTCATAAAAAATTATCTAGTTCAAGTAGTGGAGAACGTTACAGACTTCTTGTGTCTGATGGAAAACGAGTAAATTCATTCACAATGCTAGCCACTCAATTAAATTCAATGATAACGGACAATATATTAACAGAGTTTTCTATTTGTCAAATAAATAGATATGCTATAAGTATGGTAAATAATGCTGGCAAACAAAAGTAAGTAATCAGTATTTTTATAATATATTTTCAGTATTTGATATAATTTTAAAATAAGTAAAGAAAAATTATTAAATTTTAGACGAGTAATGGTGATATTAAATATTGATTTAAAAGTTTCTGGTGATGAAGTTGGACATAAAATTGGAAATCCTACAAATGCTGAAACTGAGGGTGATTCTAAACAAGCACAAATTGTACAATCTGCACAATCTGCACAACCAGTTCCTCAACAACAAAGTAATATAAGCTAATAAAAAAATCACATTAAATGTTATATATTTGAGAGCGAATAATGAAATTCTCATGAGCAGAGTAATGTTTTTATTCTAGAATTGATTTAAGTATAGCACATTGATAAAAAATAAGAAAATTTAGATAAGAAAATTTTAGATTAAGAAAGAAAGTAAAAGGAAGCAAAATAAATTTTTTTGTCCATAGTATTTCTTTTGCTTGTATTATATTTATTCTCTTTCTTTATTTATTGATAAGATTGATGAGATATATATAAGATATATTGAATTTGATATTTAACTAAGTCAATCTTAATGAAATTTAACTGAGTGTTCTATAATATTATTTTTATTATTATAATATTTTAATTTTTAGCTAATTTAAAATCAAATCATAATATGCAACAGTCTTCTACTAATAATATATCAACAACACCAATTGTTGCATTGAGTCCTTATCAAAACAGGTATGTTCAATTATTTTTGTTTTAGTGTTATTATTTTATAATATCTTGTACAATTATTTATACAGATGGGTAATAAAAGCACGAGTTGTTAGTAAGTCTAATATCAGAACATGGAGTAATTCACGTGGTGAAGGAAAATTATTTTCCATGGATCTTATAGATGAAAGTGGAGAAATTAGATGTACAGCATTCAGAAATGAATGTGATAAATTCTATGATATGCTTGAGGTAATTATTATATATATTTATTTATTTATTATTTAAATTTAAATTTTTCAAACTGTCTCTGAAAATTTTATGATATGCATTTGTTATAGATTGGGAAAGTTTATTATATTTCTAGAGCAACTTTAAAACCAGCAAATAAGCAATTCAACAATTTGAAAAATGATTATGAGATGACTTTAATTGGTGATTCAGAAATTATTCCATGCCATGATAGTGGAGATGATATTCCATCTCTACAATTTGATTTTGTATCAATAAATGACATAAATAAAAAGGAACAAAATGATATAATGGGTAAAAATTAAATTGAAATAAATATAATTTATATTATATTAATCATAATTCGTTTGTTATAGATATTCTGGGCATTGTAAAAAACTCTGGGGATTTACAGATATTAACGTCACGAAATTCAGGTAGAGAATTAAAAAAACGAGATGTCAATCTAGTTGATGAAAGTAATACTATGGTAAAAGTTTCATTACATGGCTAAAGAATTTGTTATAATTCAAATAATATAACAATTAAATAAATTGTTAGGTAACACTTACATTATGGGGATCACAAGCTGAAGAATTCGATGGAAGTAGTAATCCGGTTTTAGCTGTAAAAGGAGCACGTATTACCGAATTTAATGGAGGAAAGAACTTATCTACTCTTAGTTCAACAGTTCTTCAAATTGATCCAGATCTTCCAGCAGCACATAGGTTATAAAATTATGAATCTTTAAAAGAATATTGTTATAAAAAAAATTATATTATTTCACACATATACACATAGAATAATTCTACTTTTTATTTTAATTAGATTACGAGGTTGGTTTAATACGATGGGTCGTAATGAAGAAGCTACATCACTTTCAAAACCATTTGGAAGTACAACTGGAGTAAGTGAATTATGGATAACATTTCAGGAAGCAAAGGATATGGAATTGGGTTATAAAAATTCTGATATATATACAGTAAAAGCAACTCTTAATATGATACGTATGGAAAATGCTATATATAAAGCTTGTCCTTCTGAAAATTGTAAAAAAAAAGTAATTATTTTATATACACTTTTACGTACTTTTAATACTATAATGAAATTTATTATTCAATCAAATTTTAGTTAGTAGATCAAGCAAATGACATGTATAGATGCGAAAAATGTGATAAAGAATATCCTAACTATAGATATCGTTTACTTGCAAATGTAAGTAAATTTTTATTCATTTAATTAATAACTAATAATATTTTAATTGTTCATTTAATACTTAAATATAGAATAAATTTATTAATATCTATTTCATAATTTTGTAGATAAGTTTGGCTGACTGGACAGATAACCAATGGATAACAGCATTTAATGATGAAGCAGAAAAAATTTTAAGTAGTACAGCACAAGAACTTGGAGAATTAAAAGAAAATGATATTGATGCTTATTCTGAAAAATTTAGTGAAGCAACATTTAAAAGTTTTATATTTAAAATAAGAGTAAAAGTGGAAGTTTTTGGCGTATGTTATCATAATATAATAATTTCAATAATTTTTACAAATTTTATAATTACTAATATGTTTAATTATTTACAGGATGAGAATAGATTAAGAGCAACATGTCTTGGTGTATCTCCAATGGATTATAAATTATATAATAATCATTTAATAACTCAAATCAAAGAATTAGTTGGTATTGGTAAAGCTTAATGTTATCTCACTGTTTATAATTTTTTTAATTATGTAGTTATTATGAATATGAATTTACAAGAAAATTTTAATTTTTAAATATATAAGTATTTTCTTATGTTATTAATTCATGTAATATAAATCATAATAATGTAATCGCAAAAAAATATATCTTTCTATATAAAAAATAATAAATTATTAACATTATTATTATTATTCTTGTTTGGTTTATTTTAAATCAATTACTGAAATTAATGACTATTGAAATTTGAAAAAACATTCTTTTTAAATGAGAAAAATAAAAAATGTGTTCAATTGATATTCTATATTTATATATAATAAAAAATATGTATTGACAAGAATAAAGATAAAAATTATAGTATTTCGGCTATCTTCAAAATGTAAATAAATCTAAACAAAATAAGAATAAGAATTAATCATCAGCGCCATCTCTTAAAAATATCAAAGAATAGGATAGAAAGAATAAAAATTTTTTTATTTATCACAAACTAGATATGAGACTCTATGATATTAGTTTCATTTATAGCATTTCTAGAAATAGATGATTTCCATATTTTCATATTATTTTTATTCTTTTTTTTTCCTATTTTATGTTTTTATTTTATTTGTTCTCCTTGTTAGATAATATTAATTTTTAAGATCTAAGGTAAGTAAGTACTCTAAAGATGGCGCAAATAATTTTTAACCTATCTTTGTTTTTTTTTTACTATTTGTTCTCTTTACCTAATTAATAAAATTTTGATTTATTATAAAAAATGTAAAATAAATATATAATATAATATACATATAAAATTCTAAACATTTTATATCTGAAAAAACATATAATTTAATAATTTATGATTCATTGCAGCTTAATTATCATTCGCAAATTATCGGCATGAAAATTTTGCATCTAAAAGATTTTATAGTGCGCATGTGCAAGCTAGTCACCTTTGTAAAGCGCTAAATGACGCGCTCGTCGCAGTACAAATTGAACCTTCGTAGTGAGTAAGTTGTTCTTTCCGTGTAAAATTTTCATTATTATCAAAACAGAATGGCTATTTGTAAGTACATTTTTATATAATTTATTTATTATAATTTACATTCTTTAACTGAATGTTAAAATTTTCTTTTTTTCATATGCAAATAAATCAGATTAATTAGTTACATTTTGATATGAAATTTGTATAAATTATTCATTAATAAAATAAACATATTTCAAAATATTGTTTTATGTTTATAATCATAAATAATATGGAAAACAATAAAGACTGTAAATATTATTTGAATAAATAATTTGACATAATTATTATTAAAATATAAATATATATAGAAATATTCTATATTTATTCAATTTTATTTCTATGAAATTTATAAAAATAATTTATAAAAGTTTTATTCTTTCTTTGTATTAAAATCAATTAAAATATACTGAAATATCTATTTAAAATAATATTTTCAAACTACTTAGTAATTATTATAAAAAAGATATTACTTTATAAAATATTGAATTCTTTTTATATTTCATATTTCTTTTTATATTTCTTTTTATATTCTTTCTATATTTTATTTCTATATAAAACATTATTATGATTTCAAAATTTATTTTTAGATAATATAGTATTTAATTGTAGCATTTAATATATTAATAAAATAATAATTATATTAATTCAATAAATTATTATATTTTAAGACAATATTTTAAGAAAAAAATGTATAAATATGGTTGAAATTTTCCAAAGAATTATTCACTTTTATCGATCAAATTATTAAATATTAAATTTATTTCTGATTTATCACAGTATTCTTAAAAATTCTTAAAAAAAAAAAAGAAAGAAACAAATATAAAATTATGATCTCCTTTAAAACACATAAAAAAACTTTAGAGAATATCGATTAAGATAATAGTTAATAAATTAATAGTTGTAATTGATAAATTATTGATAGAATTGTTAAAGAGTGTATTTACAAAAAAATATCTTTGTATACATATATATAGTTCTTTTTCTAGTATCTAGCTAAATATAGTATACGAATGTAGTCGCGCCGGTTTGACAAGCCGGCCGACCGGCTTTCTTATTAGCTGTAAGATTTCACAAATATATAACTTCATACTATTTTCATTAAAAAACAAGAATGTCCTTATTTAACCTTCATAAAGATTTCTTAAATCTTCTAAATATAAAACAATATTTCATGTTTCTATATAAAATATATTGTTCTATGTATCAGAATATAAACAAACAAGTAATTTTTTGTTTTTTAATAAACTTTTAGCAGAAAAAATATAACAGGATTGTCATATGAGAGATGATAAAATTATGATTTTGGTATTACATCATCTCTATAGAATCTCTTGTATTACGCAACTTGTATTTCTACTATTTTTGCGAAAACCTTTATTTTTTAAAATTTATATAATATATACTGATTATAACAATTGAACTTTAATCACTTAAGCGGGATATATTTCCATTTATAGTTATGTTGTTACATTTATTGTATAATTATGTTATTACATTTTGCTATTAAAATTTTTTTTTTTAGTATAATTTTTTTTATTAAAAAAAATAAGAAAATTATTATATAAGTTTTTCAAATATAAAAAAATATATAAAAACAATTTTGATTTTTTTAAGATTTGATTAATTTTTTAATTTTAACAATGTTTTAAAAAGTTAAAAAATATATTTTTCATGTTAAACTGTTTAAACTGTTAGATAGTGTGACTTACTTTGTTGGCAAAGGAAGAGAGTTGCTATGCGAGGTCAATGACAGTGAAACAGGTAGTAGGATTGCTAGATACACGACTAGATACATCCAACTATTAGCAATCACGTATTTACAATTAATTAACTCGAATTTTGTCAAATATGGATAAATAAAAATAATTTAATTTAATTAAATCTTATTATGATGGAATATAAATGAAATTGCAGAACATGATTTACATTCATTAATGATATGACACATAAAAACTCGTAATAAAAAAAGTTGTATGTATATTTCCAATGATACATCAAAATACATACGTTCATAAAATGCTAAGATATATATATGTATATGATAAATAGCAAATAGTCGTCATTGCAAAATGTCTCAATGACTCTAATTTTTACGTTGTTATATTAATTGGAAACATACATGCTATTTTACAACATATTTGCTATTTTAATTAATTTAATGTATAAATCTAATTAAACTAAAATGAAAAATGAATTTATATTGAATATATAATTGAAAAATGATATTATTATATATTCAAATTTATATATGAAAAAAAGAAAAAGAAAAATATTTCATATAATGTAATTCTTTAAAAATAATAATTATTTTATTATGTATATATTTTTTTTTTCATTTTTTTACGTTTGAAAGAGATATTCATATCTCTTGTGACTCATTGTGACACAAACAACATAAATATATTGCAAGTAAAGGTAGTTTCTTTGACCGATGACATGATAGTTCACTATGACTAAAGTACCGTAATATGAAGTAAGCGCATCGAAATACTAATGACATCAGCACGATAACATTTCTGATTTAAATGATAATAATAAAATTTCTATTATTCTTGATCATTTTAATCCTTTTATAGCAATTACATTATGTAATAATGTTATTGCTTTTAATGAAAAAATTAAGAATTAAAAAAAAGTATTTTAATCCTAAAATAATTAATAGAAATTTTAAATTTCATTGAAATATATATTAAAATTATATATTAAATATAAATTATTATTTTAAAAACGTAAATGATCCTGATATATGTATAAAAATTGATAAATGATTTTTAAACTGTTGATAATTTCTTTTTTTTTATTAAGATTATTTTATGATGATATCACAGTTTCCATGACATATGCCACTATTTATAAATGTTGCGTACGTCAATCAAAATTTTGTTGTATGTATTACAAAACATTTTAATGAATAAAAAATGCAAATTGTGATTAATAGTGATTATTTTATACATCATCACTATTATCCACTTTAGAATTTTACTTTTTCGATGGACATTTCGTGTCTAGTAAGCGTTCAGAAATGTGCTATAACTGTATTGTGACGTATTTTTAGTACAAACAATAGGCGCGCTATCAAAATGTCATGAAAGATATTCAAGTATTTAAAATTCGAATAAAAAATAATTGAAAATCTTTAAATTGAAGTTTGTCTGTGCTTGATTAAAAAATAATCGTGCAATTTAGTTAGGTTAATTATATTATTAGAATTAATATTTATTATTTATTAATGAATAACAATTAGATGTTGGAATATTATTTTAATTGAAATGTTATGAAGTCAAGAATTTTAAGTGTGATAATTAATGAATTATTTAATATAATAATTTATTAATGTTGATGGATAAATGTAAAATGTGCGCGGTTTTTAAATCCGCATTTTTACGGAATCATTTGACAGAGACATTTGTATTAGCATTAATTTTTACAGATTTTGGATTTCAATTGATATCATTGCTCAAATTACCAGGTAAATTTTCAATATAATAAATTTAATGTAATAAATAATTCAACTTTTTAATCAAACAATTAATAAAATAAATAATTGGTAAACAATGTTCAAACTACCGAAAAAAATATTATAATATTGATTTAATTCAAATCAATAAAAATCAATTTTTTTATATATTTTGATATGTAATCTAAAAATGTAATCTGAAAATAATTTTAAAAAAATATTCTGCTCGACATTGACAACGATAATTAGTTTTAAGAAGGTCGTTTTTTAAGGCTTAAGATATTCTTTTTGAATATATTACAAAGATGAAGCAGGTGCACTTTATTGAGCACAATAATCTATAATTTGATAACAGGTGGAAATTGACTATTAACGAATTTCTTATTTAAAAAATAATAAATTGTAGACATAAGATGAATGAAAACTGTTCTTTGATTTAATACGTCAGGAACAAATTGAGTTTACGATCATGCGATAAGATCGTTTATAGCTGGATGTATATAAAAAAATTGAAGAATACGATTTTAAAATTATAATCATTGAATGATTAAAATCGTTTAATTTTCATTACAAAAAATAAAGCAAACATTTTATTAATAATGTCAAAATAGAAAATTGAAAATTAATTTTTTTTCTTAATATGAATAAATTTTAATAAAATTAAATAATGAACAAAAATCATATTAAATATAAAAAATAGTTAAAATAGTTAATGATAGGACATTTTTAATTTTTTCATATATAATACTTCTTTCGTACATATGAAAGTTATATAAATATTTTAATATTTTAATGTTTAGTCTTTGAATTAGAAAAATTAACATTGATTTTTTTTTTCGATGACCATGTTAAGATCGTTACGAATGACTTATAATCAAGGAATTCTATATGATTTAGACTTATTATGTGCACGATATATTGATCGGTACAAGTCCTGCAATGCCCTACTTTCGTTCGTTACATCAACATCTGTATGGAATGACTGGCGTCCAAATGTCTGAGCACTAGTTTTATTCTTTTTCATTAGAAAAAATTTTAAAATCTTAATCGAATTAAATTTTTAAAACATTTTATTATCTAATATTATTTAATTAATTTTTATTAGAGTTATTACAAAAGTTCTTATTTGTTATTAAACTGTAATAAGTTGTGAAATATATAAAAATTATAATAATGTATAACAATAAATATTGATTCATAGAAATTTTGATGTATAATAAATAATTAAAAATTTATTTCATCTTTTTTTTTTAGCACTTTCCACAGAAGATAAATTAGAATACAATTTCTATCCTGTCGCGAGTGGACAACTTCAATTCCGGATAAAAGCTCCAAATGATGCTCATATCGCTCTTACCACGGGCCCTCAAGAGGGAGAACCTATGTACGAAGTAAGAATCACTAAAAAATATTTTTATTATGTTGCTATTGTTTAAATAAATAGTCAAATGCATCGTATATATTAATATTGTAGGTCTTCATTGGTGGTTGGAGCAACAGTAAATCCGTAATCCGTAAAAATAGAACAAAGCCTGATGTTGCTGAGGTAGATACACCTGGCATTCTTAGTGCAGATGAAATGCGTGGATTTTGGATAAGGTGAATATTAAAGATAATTTTGTTATTAAAAACAATTTTATATTTAATACTTAATAATTTTATATCTTTTAATTTTTTTATCATATTTTTTAAAATACTTTTTAATTTTTAATTTAAAATGAATAAATCATGTTTTATAATATCTAATGATATTCTTTTTAATTCTTTCAGATGGAATGATGGTGTTCTATCAGTGGGTAAAGAAGGTGAACCAAGTGCATTCCTCACGTATGCCGATCCAGAACCATTCGGAATCGGTTATTTTGGAGTATGTACTGGTTGGGGTGCCTCTGGTGAATGGTTAATCGAAGGTAAAATTATTTTCTTTTTTCATCGTGTACTCTATGTTTTTAAAATTTTTTTACATTAGTCGTATGTTAAAAATTTATCGTAATTTATATTCAGAAATAGTTTTTATAGATAATAATATTATGTTATAATAATATCAATAGAAGTAATTACTTTTATAAATCTTGCTTAAAATAAAAATTGCATATTATAATTGCATATTTTGCTTGGAAAAAATATTTGATAAATAATTAGAAACTTTTATTAAATTATATATATGGAATATAAATTACTATTCTCAGTTTATTAATATAATTTTCTTGCTGGTATTTTATTGGATTTCGAGTGGATTTTAACGCATCGTCGTCCATACAGCCATATGTGTAGGTGGTCACGATCGTTGTACGTAAAGTATATAAAGTCTGCCGAGAAACAATATTTGTATTAGTTTCTTTTAGTAGATTTTTAGTTATGCTGCTCGAATGTGTTTAATCCTAGCACGTTTTTCCTTTGCCTTTCTTACAATACAACAAAATACAAACTTTTTTTTTGAAAATGAATACTGTTTAATAAAAATGGACACATGCACGAGAACGAAATCCTAGATCACACATGTATTTAGTCACGCTTGTATCTTACTTTAATATGACCAAAACCACTTTAAATTTAGAATTGAAGTAACTGGTATAATTTTATCAGATAAAACTTATTGTAAAAATATCAAAGATAAAAATATTCTATAATTACGTTTCTTTATAATTTTTATAAAAATTATTAATTATTAATTAATTCTTTCTTCTCTCTGTGAATGAAAAGAAATTGGAATTTTGAGGATATACAAATAAAAGGAAAAAATTAATTCTAAAATTTTAAGTCAAAATTAAATATTTTGTTTTTCATAAGGACGTGGCTCCTTGTCAACAAAGAATGAATTAATCTACAAGTTTCATAATATAAGGAGTGGCTCGGTTCTTATTGAAGTGAGAGCTAAAAGTAACGCGCACATCGCTCTGACCAACAAAAAAGGCGACTCGAGTCCTATGTATGAAATCATCCTTGGAGGCTGGGAAAATACAGCATCCGTCATCAGATATGATTGTAAACAACCTGATAAGGTTCGAAATCGATAAAAGATAAAATTATTCATTGATATATTATTTTTATTTTTTGTCTTATTTTACCAAAGTTAAAAATATATTTATATTGAAATTAGATCATATGAAAAAAATTTTTATATTATATATTTAACATATTTGCTATACAAAGTATTAAATATATAAGCCATATCAGGCTTATATATTAAAATTAACAGAATAAAAAAATGTTAAAAAATTAGAGTACAAATTTTGGATTAAATTAGCAATATCCTGTTTTCCGGGTGTTAAAAAATTAACTTTTGCACCGACAGGTGCGCGTAAATACGCCAAATCTTCTGAACGAGAACGAAACAAAGAAGTTCGCGATTTGTTGGCTTGACGGTCGCATCATGGTCAGAGTTGGTGGTCTTAATGGTTCTGTGATCATGGAATGGCAGGATCCTACACCAATTGGTGTGAGCTACGTGGGTGTGCGTACCGGTTGGGGAGCAACCGGCAAATGGAAACTTCAAACTACACTGTATCCATCTCCTACGGCTCCCAATTATCAAAGTAATTTGCTTGTTAAATATCTGTTTCTTTCCTGGTTTCTCTTTTTTTGCTTTTTTTTTGCTTTTTTGCTTCAATTCTATCCTTAATGACAGAAATTATTGATTGTCAGATCACTTATGGGATTTTGAGTATTGAAGTCTATTGTTTATTTTTATATTTATTGTAAAAAATGAAATTCTCTTATAATATGAATATAAGAAATATGAATATTTAGAAAAATATATTTTATGTGATTCTTATTTTATTTTAATTTATATCACTAGATTATGGTATTTAAGACTAAAGAGTAAAATGAGTTAAAAAAGATTTAATTTCTTATGTAATTCTATCTAATTATTATTGCAACTTTATTTATTTTTTTCACGTTATATGTATTTGCTTCTTTCTTTTCTAACGGATCTTGGAATTATTGATAAAGTTGTTTTTGCTTGAGATTTAACATTATAGAGATCATTCGTTTTTTAGAGGAATGATAAGATATTTATTTTTTAATAACTAAACAATTATTTTATAGATTTCACAAAACTATTATATTTAATATTATTTTTAAAGTGAATGATTTTTATAAATAACCTTTGTGATGTAAAAATGCATTAAATATTAACTTCATTTTATATTTGTCTACGCATTAAAGTTTCCGATTAAAAATGCTTACTTAGTTCAGTTAACGTCAATTGTCATGTCCGGTTGTTAAAGTATTAACACATTCACTGTGTCACGCGCTTGAGGCGTTACTTTATAAGAGGATTTATTGAATATTACATTGAGTATATCTATCAAACATTAAGTATCCTCTTAATTCATATATTATCGATAGAAATTCAAAGATTTCTAATGCGCAATAAATATATTCTTATGAATACATGCATCTGATATATTTAATATATTATTAAATTTTTATATTTATAATCATGTATATTATACTTAATTATATACATGTACAGAAAATATTATTATACAAAACTATATATAACTACGAACAATATTATACAGAGATCATTGTATTATTATTTTTTATATCACTCTTTAAATGTTTTTCTTTTTCTAATTGAATCTCACTCTATATCTTATAACATTTTTCATTCATATGAATATTGTTTTTTGTTATGATTTATCTATTATTAATCTATTTATAATGTTCTATATAATTCTAGTAATAATTATATTGAAGTATTATAAATATATATATATATTTTAAGTATTATAAATATTATAAATATATTCTGAAAATCTTTACAATTATAAATATCAAGATCATAAATATTCTTAAATAAAAAATATATATGAAGCACGAAATATTGCATTTAATCAAAGATATGTGAAAAAAACATGTTTCCAAAATTTGTTTTTATAAAATCATATTTTATTTTTTGCTTATCAACAGTATTGTTTAACATAAAATGAGACAAATGTTTGTTTATTTAACAAAAATAAAATGAAGTAGAAAAAAATTTATTTTTCGAATAATTAATGATTAAATAGTATTATCTAATATGTTTTCTATTAATCTCATAAAAAAAATAATTTCAGATAATTCGCAAGATGCTAATGTATTTATTTCTGTAACATTTGCTTGTAGATGTGAATCCAACAGCTCCACCAGTGGAAGGAGTAGTAGATATAGGAGAATTTTGTTGGTGTGAAGCATCTGGTGGAATAATTCCACCATCTGCAGTCCAAGGAGGGAAAGATATTGATGGAAATGATTTGTACGTGGGCAGAGCCTATCATGAGGGTGCTCTTCTTCCTGGCAAAGTAAAGCTAGGAGATACTATCTGTTATGTAGCTTGGGGTGGAGAGGAACATCTAAAAAATGATTATCAGGTAGAACAATAAAACAATTAAATTTATACCAATTGATATTCTTTTTAAAAGAATTATAATATAAAAACAATGATTTAATTCTAGGTTCTCTGTGATTGTAATCCTGTATGGGTACCAACAACTGGAAATAATATTCCTCACAATGCAATTCCTGGTGGCGAAACAGAAGATGGAGAACCACTTTATGTTGGGCGTGTACAACATGAGGGCTCTATAACAATCGGCAAAGTGCAACCTTCACATAGTGTGTGCTATATACCATATGGAGGTGTTGAAATTGCATATCCTGAATATGAGATCATGGTACAGCGGGATTAAATTGAAATTATTGCACCAACATCGATGAATTTATTAACGAATCATAATTGTTTATAATGATATTATTTTTGTATTTTAAACATGATAAAATATCAATAGCAGATTCTGCCACGAATTAAAAAAAAGAATGTTTTATGAATATTAGAATAATTATCCTATTTAATAATTCGCATAAGCAAAAACACATATTTGCAGTCTGATAATCAAATTCAATTATTATCGGTATTTTAATAAAAAGAAATGAAATGGAATGCTCTATCATAAGATTAATTAAGAGAATCTCTTAGGTGTGCAAACTAGTCTAGTTATAAATCGGCTGATCTTGATTCATCGATCAATTGGTGTAAACAAGCATACACTTCTGCACAGAATATAATTACAATCACATTAATAGAATGTGCAAGTAAAAAATTGATGATATATATGTATAGCTAAGCTATATAAGCGTAATATTGATTACATATAGTATTATTAATTCTTGTTAGATGTTCATATAGTTTGAAAAACATATTGCTTGATTGTAATATTTCGAATGAGAATTATAAAAAACATTTTTTTGATAATGATGCAGTAATTTGATGCACAATAATTTTTGCTTTTTTACAATTGTTGATTTTGGAATATTGTTATGAAACAATAAATAATATTTCTAGAAAAACATAATGCATTATTTTATTTTAATATATTTATTTAAAATTATAACTTTATCTAACAAATATAAACGCGTTAAGAAGCATTCAGATAATTATATATATATATATAAATTGTCAGTATGTTATTAATATAACATTATTGAATATTCAATATTTATTCAGTATTTATTGAAAATTATATTACATTATATTATTATATTATTGAAAAAATTATTAATATTAATTTTGAAATATTGATTGATCATCCGTTAAACTATTAAAAAATAATTTTTTTTCATTAATTAAAATATAATCGATTAACATTTGTAAATCCTAATATAGTGATTTTATTTAAATTGGCAATACTGCTTTCATTTTATGCAATTTGTTCCAAATAAGCCGGATTTAACAATGGCGGCCAATCCGTCATGGGTTGCTGTTAAATGTCAATTGAGAAAGGAAATTTTAAAATAGTAGCAGATCAGAAGTATTTTCACTATAAAAATGGCTGCGAAAGAGCCTAATAACATTGATGATGGTATTGCCGAACCAGGTATCGAACCTGGTGCTTCTGCTGAAACAATGCTTGTTACAACCGATAGTTTTGAGGAGTATGAACAAGAAATGAGCAATAGCATTGATGATAGACAAATGAAAGAAAGCACAACGAGTACTATCTCAGAAATACAAGAAGATGTTCAAGACATTCCAATTACACCTACTGCATCCAATCCACAAGAACTTCAAAAAACAACATCACTCGATGATTCCGAATTAGTATGTTTCATAACCTCTTTTTTTAAACATTATTTTATAAAAATGTATTTCAATTTAAAAAAAAATTTTTAAAAATCAATTTAAATATCGAATAAGAATAATAAGGATTGTTTTTTAATAATTTATAAGAATCACTCAAAAAAATTTTTCTTAAAAATTATTATTGAATTATATATTGAAAATTTTAATCAAATTTGTTCAATTTAATTAAAATTCTATGTTTTAGGAGGATGTTACACATCGATTAGGTCAAAGTAGTATTGATTCAGATCCTTTACGTTGTAGAACATGGTTAGCACAAAAAAAACATGTATTTATTTTAAGCCAAGCAGGAAAACCCATATACTCTAGATATAGTTCAGAAGATAAACTAGTCACAGTTATGGGTGTTATGCAAGCTTTGGTTTCATTTGTTCAAGCAGGCAGTGATATGATTAGATCTGTTCATGCAGGAGATACTAATTTTGTATTTGTTGTAAAAGGTCCATTAATTCTAGTTGCAGTGTCAAAAACACTTGAAACTGTACCTCAACTTACATTACAATTAACGTTTGTATATTATAATAAAATATATATACTACTTTATTTAATTTTCTTAAGATATTTATATAAATTTTCTTATTGCAGATATGTATATAACCAAATAATTTCTGTGTTAACCCAGTCACAATTAACTAGAGTATATGAACAACGTAGAAATTTTGATTTAAGAAGATTATTAACTGGTAGTGAAAGACTGATAGATCATTTATTAAATTTTATGGACAGAGAACCTGCATTCTTTTTAGGAGCTATTAAATGTTTGCCTTTATTACCATCCATGAGAAGTTCTATTACACAAACTATTATTCAAACATGTGGTAAAATCAAGGTAATATAATTTAGAGATTATTTAAATCAACATTATATTAAAATTACAATTATCGTAAAATATTAATTAAAATTAACACTTTTCAGAATTTAGTATTTGCAATACTTCTAGCTAATAATCAATTAGTAACATTAGTTAGAATGAATAAATTTTTTTTACATCCTGTGGATTTACATATAATACAAAACTTAGTTGATAGTTCAGAGTCACTTAAGACTGCTGAAAGTTGGACACCAATATGTCTACCAAAGTTTGATGCCAATGGTTATATGCATGGACATGTATCATATTTGGCTGAGGATTGTCAGGCATGCTTATTGTTACTTACAGTTGATAGAGATGTCTTTTTTATTCTTTCTGAAGCAAAACAAGTAAGTAATACAATGAATGTTTATAAAATATTTAAAAAATAATATTAAAAATAATAATAAATTTTATAGAAAATTGTAGAAAAATTAAGGAGAACAAATTGCTTAGAAGCAATTAACGAATCTATGAATAAACCACCAATTAAAACTGCTGACATTGGATTGCCAGAAATGCGACATGTTTTGTATAAATGTAGAAGCACAGCACAATTTTGGAGTCCTGGATTTCAACCTCCATATACAACAGATGAAGAGATAGAACGGTAGTGTTAAAAAATATAAAATAATCAAAAAAAACATAATAATGAAAAAACTTTAATTTTTTTATAGTTTGTTAGGGCTTTATCAATGTTTACATCACAGATTACATAGCCCAAATCGACCATTAAAACTTATATTCCAACAATTAGATAAAGAGACTATGTTAGCATGGGTAAGTTCAAATAAATGATATAAATATAATAAAAACTATCATGATGTTGCAATTAACATATATATTTTCTGTAGGTAACATTAGGCTTTGAATTATATGTTACATTTGAACCACTTGTAACAAAACCTGATGCAATTGAGGCAGTGAGTAAATTGTTAAAATGGATAAAAAAAGAGGAAGAAAGATTATTTATTTTAAATTCACCCACATTTTAAATACTGATGTAATAATTTTAAAAAATTACAAAAATGTATATTTAGGGGGATATAATTTAATTTAAGATGACGTGAAATGCATTGATTATTTATATTGATCTAAAGAATTATAAATTGCAAAAAAAAATTATTGTATTTACGATAAATGCATTCACGTTTCTCTTATATGATATTTGATACTATACTTTGCTCACTATTTTTTATTATAAAAAGTACTATTATAAGTACACATGTGAAAATGTATATATTTAAAGACATTATGCATATAATGTGAATTACATTTATAGACAGGCTATGACATTTTCAATTTATTTTATTACATGGTGCTTGAGAAAACTTGTCATTGCGTTGTTAAAAAAAGATTATTTAAAATCAATATAACATTTAACAATATCTTTTTATATCATTTAAAATAAAATGTAATTTTTAAAATAAATTGTAAAATAATTTTTTCTTAACAATGACAGTAATAAATTTTCTCTAAAGTTTTGTAAATAAACGTAAAAATGGCCATTGTTTCATGATATTAAATCGAAAGTAATGATTCCAAATAGAATGAATAGAATGACATTAAAGAAAAAAAAAAACAAATATTGTCACAACATATAATGTACGGGTATTATAAGCTACTATGTAGCGTTTCTATCGATATAAAATCCTATAATTTTAATACAAAACTATTCCTTGTATATGTTACACATTACTGTTAATCACAATCGAAATGCAATATATATGATAAAAAAATTCAAGAGTTATATTATTTTACGTTTTTTATTTACCTGGTAGTTATAAAAATCAATTCGCATATTCTGTACAATATTTTTCATACCTTGATATTTCAATTCAATGCCTAGCTCTATCACGTTCTCGTCTTCGTTCTCGATCTCGATCTCTTTCTCTATCTCTGTCATCTCGTCTATGTCGATCCTTGTCTCTATCTTTATCTTTATGTGAAGAATGATTTTTGGGAGATTTACTTCGTTTACGTTCTCGTCTATCTCTATCTCTATCTCTACTTCTCGATCTCTGTTTTTCTCTATCAGATTTTTTATCGGAACGTGAATGTCTTTTATCTCTGTCTCTATGACGATCTCTATCCCTATCATGATCATCTGTTCTTTTACGAGTTTCTTCTTTAACTGGAGGTATATCTTCATCTTCTGAAGACTCTATTCCTTCATCCATATCATCTTCTAATGCAGATATTTTTGCTTCTATAACATAGAAATGATTTGAATTTTTTTATTTATTTTTATTCATATGTTTATAATTTAAAAAATTTACCTAATTCATTATTTTCTTCAAGAACATGTCTTTTTTGTATTCTTGGTAGAATTACATCACAACATCTTTCTTCTCTGAGAAGATCATCTATAAATTCATCCATATGAATCAATTCAAATTTGCCTTGCTTATTTTGTCTTCTTAACTTTCTATTATCATTAAATAATGGTTCCAAATATTTATAACAATCTAAAGAAGATCCTGTCAATCTCATGTACAAAGCTCCCAGAGCACGAACGTATTTAAATTCTTCATTTTTTATAAATTCTACTATAATATCTTTTTCAGGTTGTATTTGTAACATTTTTAATATTAAACAAAGAAACGGTGTTGGTTTTACATTTCCACCATATACACCACCTATGTACCTATATAAAATATGTTTGTTTTTGTTAATAGGTTATATTCTAACATAAAATTTTAAAAAAATTCCAAGAATATATATGATAAAAATTATGTAAATAAGACATATATAATATATATATAATATATATAATAAAAACAATTAAATAGTATATTACATAAATAAAATCGCAAATAATTTACTTAAATTATATTTAATATTTACTAACCTCAATTCCATAGCTTTATCAACCAAAAGTTCTGCAGTTAAAGCAAAACATTCTTCTTTCCAATATTTTGAATCATATACTCGAGATCTAATTATTTTTTCTACTAAATATTGTGGATTTGTACCTCTAATAGATTTCGCATCCTTTACTGTTCTATTAGCCATTTTTAGATTGCACACAGGTTAGAAATATATTTTCAAAACAAAACGCACATTTTAAATACTGTAGATAGATGACACACTTGACTAATAGAACACACTTAATAGGAAATTTTTTAAATAACTGTATTTATTCAAATTACACTTCAAATATGAATAAATTAGTTTTTATTTTTTTATTAAACTATTTACTTATAACTTATTTAAACTTAATGACTAAAGTGAAAAAATATATGGTAAAATGACAATGGTAATTTAAAATTTGAGAAATAAAGGTAATGTAAAGATAAACAAATTAAAATTGCAAATAATCTTTCTTAGTCATTTAATTTTAAAATATAT